CCCCCCCCCCCGACAGCACATGGACTACCCTGCCTGCAGGGTCTCAGGCCCTGCTAGGAGCTACAGCTCCCCCACTTCTGCTCATTCCCCTGCTCTTCTCCAGCCTCTGGAGGCTGAAGATGAGCAGGAGAACAAGCAGGAGGCTGGAGAGGATAGGAGAACGAGCAGGAAGCTCATTCCCCCTGCCTCCGTTGGTTCCCCCAGCTCCCCATTCATTTCCCCACTCCCCATTCATTCCCCCCACTCTCCCCCACCCCTGGTGGGTCTCCAGCCTCCTGCTCCTTCCCCTGTTTGCCTCCAGCCTCAGGAAGAAAAATGTGAGCCTTGCCTTCATAGGCAGTGGAAAGGGAGGGCTAACAGGGCTCAGCCCCCACAAATGCAGGGCAGCAAAAATAGCCAGAGAGTAGCCCAGCCACAGGGGGGAGGGGCATGCACACACTCAGATACCTGCACAGTCACAGCAGGCCCAGGTGCAGGCAGGCAGGCAAGTTCCTTTTAATTGGGCTGGGGGGTGTGAAACGGGGGACACCTTGAGAGAGTGAGGTAGGGGCAGGGTGAATCATCCACCCCTGCCCCACTCCCTCCTGCACTGTGGTTCTGCCTCAGGACCCGGCCCAGCCGGGGCCCCATTCACAGTGAATTGGTTTAGGCCAGGCCGTGAGGTAATTGGAGCCTGGCAGCTCCTCCAGAGCCAGTGCAGCACCGGGGAGCAAACAGGGGGCATGTAGGGTCCTGACCTTTGCACAGGGCAGGGACAGGCCACAGCTGTGCTCAGCCTCTGCTCCCTGCATCCATACCTCACTGCTGCCACTGCTTTGAATGCGGCATGGTGTGGCACTATGTGTCTTGCTGCCAGGCCCGCCCAGCAGCAGGCTGCACATGCTACCATGCCACTTTCAAAGCAGGGGATTAATCCTGCTTTTGGCTCCCCCTGCCTAAGGGGGCCATACTGGCCAGCTTCTGGCCATGCCTCTGCCACTATAACAGTGAAGGAGGAGTGCCCAGAAGACCCTGGCTCATGCCGTGCCCACGGGACAGGGGAAGAGGAATTAAATCTTCTCCCCGGCCAGTTCACTCCAGGGCTAGCCATGCTCCCACCACTGGAGCAGCCAGTGGAGAAATGCAGGTCCTGCTGGGGAGGGGTGGAATTAACCTCTTTCCTACTCCGTTTTGGGCTGGCATCTGGCCAGGCCCCCACCCTGTCTGTCCCTGCTCCTGCTAGGGAGAAGAGGGGCAGGGCCAGTCCTGCTCCACTGGAGCAGAGAGCACAGCCGAGAGAGCATGTCAAGATGCTGGAGGACTCTGGTTTAACTTAAACCAGGAAGGGGCCTGGGACAGAAGTTGCATAAACCTGTTTGAGCTCAATCATTACATTCAACCAGGTTTGTCTCAAACTGGTTTCAGCCATTTTGAAACTGGTTTATGTACACTGAACTTATATTCTGTTACAGGTTTACATCAGTTTCTGTTCACTTAAACCAGTCTGTGTGTAATATCTGTCCCTAGCCATAAACTGTGGGATATGGATTCTACTCCAGAAGGGGTTTGGTAACACCTAATTTTAGACAGCCAAGTATTTTATTAGATCCAGCCCTTTGGGCAGTGGTCCCCAACCATCACTGAACCCAGGACAATACTGAGCAACCAACATGATGTAGGCAATATCAGACATTACTCTGCCTGTCAATTTGAGTTTAACTTTTTAATTTTCTTTGGCCATGAGCAGTAGTGGAAGATACTGAGAGCCACATATTGCCCAGGAACCAAAGGGCAGGGGTCACTGTTTTACAGCCCAATATAAATGTCAATTCAAGTGACTGGAAATCCTGCAATTGACTTCTTAATCCTTTGAATTAGGCCCTTACATTTATGCAATGGTTCTAGCATCCCACTGCAACTGATGTAGAGAAGCTAATGCTGATGTTCCAGTAAGAAAATAAATTCCTTTTGGGAAGTCATTTTCTTAAACATATGGGCTGGTTTTATAGATATCCATCTATCCATCTACAGATATCTATCTATATATTTATAAGTATATATATAGATCTATCTATCTATATATATTTAAATCTTTACATATTTAGACTTATAAATTAGTATCCACAAGTTTTATACAGCACTCTTCACAGCTGATGCTTTTATAGACATAATTAAACATTATAAAATGCATTACAAAAACTTACAGCTTCCTCAAGGTGTTGTTGATCTGGATGATCATTTGGTGTATGTCTCAAAATCTCTCTGAGCAGCAATGGGTATTTCACTAGACGACTTCTTGGGATGTCAAGGAAATTCCAAAGGTCCAGTTTACGGCTGAAAGGAGACTCCAAGCAGCGCTGTAGGAAATCCTGCACTCTATGATCTTGTTTCTTGTGATCCAGTAAAGCTTTGGCTGCTACTTGATTGCTGCAGTAGCTATCGTAGGAGTTTAAGCAAGGCAGCTGAGGGAAAAAAAATTGAAACTAAAATGTATTAGGCACAGGCAAAATGCTATACAAAGCTTCAGGATTTTACCAATGATGGAGGTAGCTCTCTCCTTGGTGATTATACAATAAATTAGTCATAACATTAAACAGACAGAGGAGTTTTATAAGGAGTGTCTTTTTCCAATGGTTGTCTTCAATATTTTGGAGAGCCCCAAGTATGCTTTAATTTCTAGAAAATACTCATGATTTACCTCCACATAAAAATACCTATCTTTGAAGCTAATTTTTTTAACTTCATGAGAACATAAGAACTGCCATTTACTGCGTCAGGCCATAGCTCCATCTTGTCCAGTATCCTGTGTCACACAGGGGCAGAGAGTAGATCCTGAAAGGGCAAGTGAACTGGGTCTAATCAGGGTTTTTCCCCTGTTCCTATCCTCCTTGCAGCCTCCAGCATTTAAAGTCTAGGAAGTTGTACCCTTAAGTCCCATGTTCTATAGCTACTGATACACCTTTCCTCCAAGAATTTGTCCAATCCCTTTTTGAATGCAATTAAACTGACAGCTCCCACAACATCTTGTGGCATTGAGCTCCATTCCTTAATTACAGGCCATGTGAAAAAGACCTTCCTTTTGTTAGTTTTAAACTTACTACCTACTAGTTTCATTTTATGACCACTAATCCTTGTACTGTGAGAAATAGTAAATAATAAATACCTATTTACTTCGTAAAACCTTATCATGTTCCCCCTCATCTCTTTTTTAAACTGAAGAGACCCAGCCTCTTTAGTTGCTCCTTGTAAGGAAGCCCCTCCATTTCACTAATCATCCTTTCTGCCTTCTCCATATCTTCTCTAGTTCTTTTGAATCCCTTTTAAGATGTGGCAATGAAAACTAGGCACAGTATTCAAGGTGTGGATGCAACATGGATTTATAAAGGGACATAATGATACTTTCTGTTTTATTCACAGTTCCCTTCTTAATAATCCCCATCACATGGGCAACTGGTGCCTCTTGAGTCTGGGGGAGCACCCGCAGAAGTTGGCAGCAGCAGTGGGGACAGGGCTGGTGAGCACCCGCTGAAGCCAGTGGAGGTGTTGACGGTGGGGACGGGGCTGGCGAGCACCCATAGAAGCCACCAGCAGCATTGGCAGTGAGGACGGCCCTGTCGGGGGCATGTGCCCCCCGTGCACTCCCTACCAGTCTCCTATGCCTACCATTTTGTCTCTTTTTGACAGCTGCTGAGCACTGAGCTGATGTTTTTAGCAAACTGTTTAAAATGACTCCCCAGATCTCTTTCCTTTGTGTTAACAGCCAATGTAGAGTCCATTGTAGTATAGGTACAGTTTGGATTATTTTTGTCCATGTGCATCATTTTACACATTTGTATTACATTTCACCTGCCATTTAGTTGCCCATTGCACTAAATAGTGCAAGATTCTTCTAAGTTCCTCACAGTCCACTGTGGTCTTTACCACTTGGAATCATTTTGTGTCATCCACAAATTTGGCCACCTCACTACTCACCCCTTTTCCAGAACATTTATGAATATGTTAATAGTCCCATAATAGATCCCTGGAGGACCCTTTTTTTAACTTTTTCCTATTCCGAAAACTTACCACTTATACTCTAAACAATGAGTGGACCTTTCCTGTAATCTTGGACAGACAGAAATTACGTTTGTTGTGCAATCATCCCCTTAAAAAGTGCTTTACAGCCATGCCCTGACAAAAGGGCACAGCTACAGAGTGCTTTAACAGTGCCCAATTGCAGAACAAATTAATCCTTATTTAATGAGAGTTCAGATAAAGATGCTTCAAAGTGGAACACTTTCATTAACTTCTGCTTGTCCCTGCCTGGAAGCAGGGCTGTGAGGGGGGTCCAATCCACCTGTCCCACCCTCCAGCACAGGCTGGGCAAACCCCAGACGAAGCTCCCTTCCTTCCTTCCCTTCCCTTCCCCCCTCCCATCCTGAAGCCAGCACCAGAGCTGAGAGAGCACAGGGCTAGGGAAAAGAGGCAGCAGACATGCAGCCTCTCTTCCCTGGACCAGCTCTAAAGTGGAGCTCAATTGTCCCCACCCCGCCATGCCCCAACCGAACAGTGAACATCTGTTGGGTTGGGGGCAGGGGGGTTGCTGTAACTCATGATGCTTTCTGTGAAGTGCTATGAGTTACAGTGGGGAGCTTCACATCTGCCAGCACCCCTTATGGCTACCTAACTTCATTAAAATCTAAAATAAAGGCACCTCCATGTCTTATATACAACTGAGGACTTTGTTTTATGGAGAGACATTCCAAATCCAATCCAAGGGAAACCAAGAGAAAACAACACCTTGTTCTGGAAGAACACGTCTCTAGTTGTGCAAGCTATATAGAGCTTGAGAGAGACTTATCATTTGGAACAAGGAAGACATCCCCTCCTCGGAAGGACAAAAAATCCCAAAGAAACACAATGCTCCTCTTGTGGGCTTCCTAATCCCAGGGTTTATCTCCCCCCCACCCCCAACAGGAAAGAACTACTAAATAATTTTCCATGCTACCAAGACTTCTCATAAGATTTCCCAGCCAGCTACCAACTGTATTTGATTACAGTTAACTATATGCCAGTAACTTCACTGCCAATAATGTCAGGTTGTGCTTTGTACATTTTTGTAACCCTATAGCAACAGACGCATGGTTCATTTAAGTCCAGTATCCTATCTCTGACAGTCACCTACACAACAGAAGATGTGGAATAAACCTCCTCATGGAGGTCCTCAATCATTAGCTATGGCTTAAATATTGAAGCATTAGGTTCTATATCACATCTAAACCCATTGGGTTTTACCTATTATAACTGTGGTTAGTAGCATCTATCTACATGGCCAATCCTACATGCAGGAGGAACACACCCTCCTGCTGGCTGACACCAGCCCGGACGTAGTGGG